TGTTTGGCAGATGGCTCTCCAAAGCGGCCGTGATCGTATAGTGGTCAGTACTCTGCATTGTGGCCGCAGCAACCCCGGTTCACGGCAGGTGTATCGCCCGCTCATATTGGGTTTCCATGTGTTTACTTTCAAGTGGCTGCGTGGTTTTCTGGATACGCGCCATAAATGTTACAGGAGTCGTCGCTTTCTCGTCCTGTTTGCCTGTGGTGGTATTGATGTTCGACTTTTGACGGGCAGAATCTCAGTACATTCGAAGTTAGAAGCAAACAAGACGCACCTGAGTAAGGCAAGTCCCAAAGTGCTCATTTTTATGGAGTGAGATCACTGCCAAATATACGAGAGCGCAGATGCATAGCTAAACCGAGCAAAACAGACACTACGAGCGCACACTGCACCTTTGAAACGCCGATACTAGCGCTCGCTTCTCTCAGCCTCGCGCTCGATTCACCGTGTAGCGCTCGCTTCTCAATTTTCTGCTCGGTTCCGAAATCCCCGCGCGCTTCGTAATTTTCTGCTCGTTTTGTAATGAAAACAGCAAATTACGTCAGAGATTCAAGGCGTGGTAGCTGATTTCCGAGAATATCGATTGAAAGCGCGCCATTTCAGTATGGAGGAATCCAGACAAATTGCAAGTGACTTTAACTCTAATTTAAACGCTAATCGTGAGTTATATTTATATGTTACGTATGTAATATGGAAATTCACTGTTACCATAAACACATAATAAGTGATACAGTGATATAAACTTTCACAATGTGGGGCAATTTTAAGCACAAGATCAATGTAGTATTGCGATAGAAATGTAGCGTTGCAGAATATGGATAAGTGTTGTTATCGGCTAACATTGGTCATTTTTTTAGCTTAATATGAGTGATATTGTGACTACAGCTCAGAACTTAATTACTGCAATAAACAGTAATCTACAGACTACACGCCGTACAAATGTGGAACAACAGAGTCAACGATCCACCACATCACAGAATTCTGCACGACAGCCTTCTGTCTACCAGGAAATGGCTAGGTTGTTATTATTGCTTTTTAAACTTCTATAACTTTGTCCAAATGCAGTATTAAGATTAAGGTTGTTTAATAATTGCTCATTTATGTTTAGGTCATTCCCAGGCTTGTTTCAAAAGGGTGCAAAGGGCAAGGCAAGGTTTACTCCTCAGAAGAGGAAGCTACCTAGGTCGACTCCAGTGTCCTTTTATCTTTTGCCAAAAAACACATCAAAAACACCAAAGGGAACTGATGAATTCAAATTAATTCAAGCTGGACTTCGGAAAAGGACTGTGATACTTAATGATGATATGGATCATGCTGAAGTATGTTTTTATTAATGATACAATGCTAAAATAGTATACATGCTTACATACATACCATATATATTTTACTTGTGACTTGTGACATACATACCATATATATTTT